GGTGGTTCTGACGTGGAGCCAGGTGGTTCTGACGTGGAGCCAGGTGGGTCTGATGTGGGACCAGGTGGGTCTGACGTGGAGCCAGGTGGTTCTGACGTGGGACCAGGTGGTTCTGACGTGGGACCAGGTGGGTCTGACGTGGGACCAGGTGGTTCTGACGTGGAGCCAGGTGGGTCTGATGTGGGCGACAGAATGTTCAAACCTGAATTGTGGAACCCTTTTAAAGACGTGCGGCCGTCCTGTGACAGGTCTCGCACCTGGAGCTCAGGTGAGGTCCAGAGCTCAGGACCCCCCCACCCCCCACAGGAGCCTTCAGCTGCAAACAGAACCGGGTCGGTTCTGATCAACAAAGACCGACCCAAAGGAACCATCAGATCCACACGATACTCAGACGTTTACGGGTTCATATCCGATGAGCTCGGTCCAACTACGACCTGGATCAGAACTTTTACAACTAAATGTTTATAAAACTGGTGCCGGTGTCAGGAACCAGGACCGGGTTCGTTCAGGTCCAACGTGAGCCAAAACATGTGCATGTGATTAATTCAATAAAGTAATTGGTTTATAATTCATGTGTTCATAAAGAGCTCAGTCTGACCGACGGACTCGACCAGAACCATTTGGAGGGAGACCGGTGAAGGAAGCACCTTCACACCATGAAACAAGACTCGTCTTCATCAGAACTCACCGCCACAGGAAGTGGTCCGAGCAAAAACAGGAAGTTCACCACAAACCGCTCAGAAGCAGAACCATGAGAGGAGATCCGTTCAGCAACACAGAACCAGAACCAGAACCAGAAGCAGTCAGGAGAAGATCTGGATCAAGCTGTTCTGGAACCCAGGTCAGCTGGTTCAGGTGCAGCTCCAAGCTCCTCAGACGGACCGGAACCAGAACCTGGAGGTTCTCCTAGATGCAGACATGACCCGGCTGCAGGAAGTTCCTCTGCAGAAGACTCATTTCAAACTAAAAGTCTGCACAATGACCACACACACTGAAGTCATACTCTTATTTTGAAAGTGTGATGATCCTTCCGGTTCTGATGATCAGTTTGTCTCAGAACACGATGGTCCAGTTTATCAGAACTGACGGTTCTAATGGTTTTTCGCTCTGACCAACTGATGTGCAAACAGAACCGGGTCAAGCAGCTGATGGAGTGAGTTACTGATCAACCCGATCGTTGCTCAACGTCTCCTTCGACCCGCAGAACCGCTGATCTCTCAGATTTAAACAAGGAAACACAGAAACCCTGGGTTCTGGACCGGGTCGGAACCAGCTCTGCAACATCAGCTGATCAAGACCAAACAGAACTTCAAAAGAAGTTCAAACTGACGTACAAGTGGACAGAACCCAGGTCCGGTTGGAGAAAAATCTGAACTGAACTTCCTTGAAAATGAGTCCTGATCCAGTCCTGATCCAGTCCAGACCAGGCTAGAATCCGTTTGTGGTTCCGGACCAACAGTTCTCCGGACCTTCTGAAGCTCAGTCGGAAATATCTTTTTAGACTTTGGCTGATGTTTGACCTTTGAACTCTGACAGAAAACATTAAACTCAGGGGGAAACAAAGATCCATCAAGTCGAGGTTTGAACTGGATCAGAACCTTTCGGGGTCACAGAAACACGACCCGTGTCTCTAGTTGGACCATAAACCCCCCAGGATCCACAGCTTCCTGTGGAAGTGATGTCACAGCTCGGCTCCAAAACGGATCAATACGTTGATTATTTACAGCCAAACAAGAACCTTCAGGTTCTGGTCAGAGTTCGGCAGCTCAAGACTCCCAGACCACAAGGACCCCCAGAACCTGAGGACCCCAGACCACAAGGACCCCCAGACTGGGTCACACTCAGACCACGGTTCTCCGTGTGAACCGGGCTCTGAGGTTTCATCTCTGTGAGGAGTCGGTCCAGACACGGCTCTCAGATCAGTGTGCCTGCTACTGCTGGCTGCCGCTGCACCACTGCCCCGGCAGGTGACGGGTCGCAGCTCAGAGGAGAACAAGGCCCTGCTGGGTTCCTGAGACAAGGCTGCCGTCGGCCACGTTTGCACGACGCTTCCTGTCCTCGAGCGGTTTCCTAACAGGAAGTAACTGCAGGAAGTGAGGACGGGGCTGGAGCGCCCAGACGCTGATCCACCGAGCACGAGAGAAGTCACAAGGTCCGACGTTCGTCCGTGAAGAGACGATCCAGGAAACTGCAGCTTCAGAGAAAACTGACGTTTGTTTACGTGAGTTCAGTGGGAACGAACACAAATGTTGTAGAACAAACAACAACAGGTAAACAAATGTGGTGGAACAACAAACAACAGGTAAACA